AGGTGGCTGTGAAGAGAGGTTTATATTGTCAGCAGAATATTCATAGTATGGTATGATATGCGGCGGTTGCGATACCATTGGTCTCATCACGTATTGCTCTTCCGATTCATTCATTTGGTTGGCTTTCGGTTCACTATTTAATGGATTCTCAAGGACTGGACTAAACATGCAATCAGTGTTGAGAGAGGACTGCGAATGGGGTGTCGACTGAGTGGATGTTGACGAACAGTTTGCACTCAGAAAGTGAGTTGAGTGGGGGCTTGAGGTATGGTTTACTTCTTGCGATTTAATCGATTCCATGTCTGAAATGTTGGAGTCGTTGAGTGAAAAGTGTGCGAAATATTCACAACTAGTTTGAGAGTTTGGTTGAGTGCAGGACGAGACACGAGACTTCTGGTCATTGAGTTTCGCATACGAATGGTTCAGAAGGTGCGGCGGAACTGACGACTCATTTGCTCTCTTTTTGCGTTTCTTTTCCTTTTGCTTATCCGAAGAAGAGTTGAGATTCTGATGCAATCGATGAATGGTTTCGGAAATAGTCGGCGGTTTAGGCATCGAAGAGATGGTGTCTGCACTGATCGATGATATACTCGGCGCGGATATTAAACCATTCATGAGATCTGATTCATCGCAATTCTCGAACATCTTTCGGGCGGCTTTTGTCGGAGGAGTCCATTGAGGCCCACATTCATCGTCACAATCATCACTATTATACTCTTCAGTATCAGAGGAGAAGTCCTTTTTGTGCGGCGGATGGCGTTTGTGTTTATTACTACACATTAACAATACATATACTGTTATACAGTAATCAACATAATTAGTCAATTCTAAGTAACTTACAATTTGGACATAATATCCCTTTCGTAATGGGAGGGCGCGGGTGCGGCGCATACATGACTCGGATCTTTAGGGTCGGGTCCGATGTCCTTCCCGTGCAGCCACATGTCATACCTGTCGGGCTGGAACTTCCTGACGAATGCTTCCATATTGATCTGAACCGAATCCGATCGGCAGAGACACTGTATTTGAACAAACAGATAATGAGATGCAATGATAGTAACTCGTGAATAGTGGTTCACCCTACCCGTACGGCGCGTTTGCCAAACTCGACCCAACGCGGGAGTGCAAAGTTAGTGGACTCGGCGCAGTTGTATCCATGGTTATATCCCGCGTGATATGAATAGGGAAACGTAATCATAAACTCTCCCTCCTCTTGAGTAATCTTACTGAATGGTATCGAATACTTCTTCAGCACTTGAGGCGAGATTAGAGTCATTTTGTGGCGAAG